ATGATAGGAATTATATCCAAATTTTCACAGAAATACATACCTTTTTTTAACATCTCGGGGGGGGGGGCAAGGAGGGGGGGAATAATTTAAAAAATCTACCAAAAAGGGATTTTATATATAGTAGGAAAAGCCTGGAGTCTAACGGAGTACTTGGAGAGGAATGAGTGGGAGGGGGAAGGTTACAAATGTCTGAGTGGTTACATAATTACCTGAAACTGTATTTAGAGTCATGTCCTAATGTCTTTTACCAGCAGGTACAGTGAAATAGGTTTCTATGTGTATTTGACAAGCTGTGAGTCAGAAGAATTTTTGTTTTCCTTAGTAGGAAGAGAAATAAAATCGTAGGGTGTGTTTTGTATGCGACACAGGTTACATCCGTTTTTCACTTGCACGAAAAAAGACATTTTTAAAATTTATCTACTACAGTGAAGTCATGGATTTTTTTATTTTTTTTTCCTGGTCATATGTTCTTTGATAGCAAGAATCATAACCAGTCGCAGAAGAGGACACAGTTTTCATAGTAATCTACTTGGCTCTTACTAAGGAGGCTAATCTACTTTTTACTGTTATTGGTGATGAACGTTGGCCAGTTCTGCAAAAATGTGTATATCCAGGCATGTTCTTAAGCTGAAGTGTCAGTTTTATCCAATCCAGGAAAGGTCATACTCTCTGTGCTTAAGGGCTGAGGGAGTCTACAACAGCCTGTGTATAACTGAGCCTGTATTTAATTGTTTTGTGTCTTGTACAAAGAATTTGGTTTTCCTTGTGGGTAAAAGAAAGCAGCTTACTATTCCAAATCTTTATAGTAATCTCAATTTCTTCTTAACTTTTTTTTTTTTAAAAAAAGAAAAAAAGAAAGGAAGAAAGCTTTTGTGGTAAGCCTGTAATTGAAATGCCGGAACTCTCTGGCAGAACTGAAGAACTGAATATATAGAATTACTGCGTAGTGAGACGTACCATCTATAGACAATGGCTATATCTGAACTGCAGGATCAGGCACCTTCTAGCTTCAATTCTTATTTATATGCTCTGATCATTTCTGGGCTTCTGTGGGGAAAGTGACGGAGCACCCAAGCTGTGAGGGAACTATATTGCCATCTAGATGAGTACCTGATCTGGACAATCAGAGTAAGAGGACTGTAGGGAGCATCAGGGGAACACACTTGCTTCAGACAAGCAAAGTCGATACATTTCAGTTTTGCCTGTGTGTAAAAGGATGATATCTTACTTTACTTGTCTTTGATTTTCCCATTTGGACTAGAAGTTATTTAAGAGCAGAACAGATTAGTCTCTAACTGATTGCAGTACACCTACCACCAGAGAATCCCAGCCTTTGCTGGAGCCCTTCTAACAGCCCAGTCATAGAATTAATTGCATCTTTACATAGATGTAAACTTGATTCAAACTTACATTGCAAATTTAAAAGCTGTAGTACTGTAATCCTACTTTAAGCATTATTACCTATGTATTTTCTTCTAGCATTGAGAAAAATTGCAGAATTTGTGTAAGTTCACATTCAATTGTCAATTTATAAATTCTTTAGAATCATGGTCTCATAATGTTTTTAAACTGTCTTTAAAAACAGTGTCCTAGAGGCCTAAAGTTTCAAAAGGGAAGCCTGAAACTAAAAGAATAAGAGGTAGTGTAGAGCTGGCCAGCCTGATTTGACTTGCAAGTATATATGGAAATATCAATTATATTGGTTGCAAAGGTCATAAAATTGCATTCTTAGGAAAAAAGAGAAATTGTTATTGCCAGCTTGACAAGTCTTGCAGTATTCTGTTTTTTTATCTCATGCAATTCACTTTTAATGTAAAAACTAGTTCCACTGAAAATGTGTATTTGCATAATTTACATAGAGCTGCCCTAACACTAAAAAAGAAAATGCAAATCAGCTTTGAATTTGAGAAAAATTACGTAGGAATCCTATTTTGCTACAAAAACTACACGAATGTTATAACTCTTAGTTTTACTCAATTCAGGATAGTAGTAAACTGTGTCTTTGATAAAGTTGTGGTTTGTGCATGAAGCAAGCAGAGCCTGTTGTGAAAAGTAAGCGGACTGATGGTCGGCTATCTTAGCCAACTTTACTCGTTGTTGTAAAGATATTTAGCAATGCCTTCCCACAGCATGCATTTCAAAAAAAAAAATTATTGCTTCACTCTGTTCTGTAGGTAGTTTTTTGTTGTAGGAAAATTAATTATTCTTCATAGGACAGTGTGCTTCACCTGGAAACAGTTTTGCTGAATCAGTAGTCCTCATTTATTAGCTGAGTGGTTCCTTCTTCTGTTATAATGATGTGGGATTTTTTTTTCTCTTTCAGCCTTTTAGAGATTTAAGTAATACTTAAGAGCTAGTGGCAGAAAGGTCATAAAACCTCTGATTTTGTGTTTACTTTGGATGGGCAATCTTTTATAGCTCACCTATACTGAGCTTCACTGCCATTAAGGGGAGGAATGAATCACTCCTGTAAGACTGCTTAAATTTAAAACTTTCTTTTCAATACCTCTTTTATAAAACCAATTTTTACCTTGGTTTTAAGGACTTGGAGAGCAGGGAAGAGTTGTATTTAACTTGTTAAGTTGTATTAACTGTTTATTAATTATTAATTTATGGTATTAACTGTTAATACAACTAATAAGAGTTGTATTAACTATTTAACTGCTGTAAGATGGAACTTATTTTTTATTTAAAAGGCTGGTTTTCTTTAATCTTCAGGAGTGTAAATTTAGTCTTCTAATATACGTGTCGATTGCATTTGATTTCAAAGCATACTATTTGGCATGCATAATAAGAGTATTTGAGTAATACAGCAGGAAAATAAAGAAGTGAATTAAATGCTCTACAGGGATAATTTACATAGAGTTCCATATCTCGTCTATAATTAATTCATTCAAGCACCACAATCAAGTTTCTCCTGATGTTTTTTTTTGCTCCAGGATGAACCAGGGAAGTGTCTGTTAAGTGCTAGTTTTGAATAGTTTGCTCTGCTCTGTTTAGTTTGATATCCAAAGGCTGACATACGCATCCTGTCTTCATTTCCTGGTAGCATCTGAAACCAGCTTTTTGATAGAAAATTTGAAAGAGAATTCCAAAAAGTTTCATGAGAATACTCGACTGGAAAACACACAGTTGTATCACCGAGGGGGTAGTGTACACTCTGCAAGAAATTCATGCAGGGGGGAGATCTTCTCATTTGTCTTCCTGCAGAAAGGCTCTCACTAGAGCAAACAGTAGATAAAAGTTGAAACAATGGAAAGCTGGGCTTAACGTGTTTGCAGAACAGATTATTTTTTTCTGTTTTATGAGTAAACCCATAAGCTACTAGCTTTCCACAATATTTACATGTATCAGAGAAAACTTTATATTAGTCAGTTAGTCACTTGCATATGTAAATCTAAGACTGGCAGATTGATTTTGTTGTTCAGAAAAACAGGCCTCTCCATTCTGCTTGCATTTCACAACTACTATTTACTGACATTCTGTAAAATTTGTACACTGCGATAAAATCTAGATGGTTTAATACTTTTTTCAGTTATGTGCAGTGGTTGATTTGATTTTCTGTCTTATTTTTCTTTCTGGTCAGTTTTGGAACATAGTCATTACAATTTTGTGCAGTTGCTGAGAGAGTACTTGATGAGTAAAACACAGTTTTTATAATAAACTTATTTCAGGAGAATTAAATCCATATTGCTGCACAAAACCTAGATACATTGAGATGAAGATCTAGCAGAGTAATACAGAGAAGATGATAGCTGATATCTTCTATGGCCCAGTCAAGTTACTCAACACACTTTTTTAGTGCTGTATTACCTGGATCTCAGTATACCAATGCTCTAATATTCTGCATTAGTGAATCATGTTGAATTGTTTAATATTTATTAGATGACAGAAATAGCAGTTACATAAATTATATCACTTCTGGAAATAAACCACTGATTTACTTTGGTTTAGCTGTCTCCTTTCTTTAAACAGAATTTAGAAATCAGTAGATTGAAAATTTGCAAAATGTCGTTGTTGAGTGTGGGCTTTAAGTTGGAGTAAGTGACCATACGCATTTATTCAAGATTGTGAAATAGCCTTGACTTTTCAAAAAGGTCAAGAATTATGTTGTTTTATGTAAATAACTCTCAAAAATCTTAACATACAAATCTATTTTATTTGAAGAAATTTACAAATATTTTATGTAAGGCCTATTTTCCCTCTCCTTTGGCTGTACTATCAAGGCAGCCAGTGAAAATATGTTTAATAAACAGTAAAATTCTCAATTGGTCACGTAAAAAACCTAAGATTGTCATAATACATTTTTTACATAGGCTGTATTGAATAATATGTCAATTGTAGAGTTTGGGAAAGATTTTTGCTTTGTGATAGCTGCGTGTATATCAAGAAACTCCACAGCAAACCAAATTTTAACTACATTATCTTTGTTGCTATGGAAATTACGACTGCAGATACTTTTTGTGTAGCTTACATAAAGGAAGTGTGCAGAAATCAGTTTCGTGTTAGGACTGGTTTAAGATGCTGCTTTTTTTTTTCCCTCTCATTCTAATATTGAGTAATCTCTTTGTATATGTAGTGTAGTTTGAGTACTCAAAAATGAGAAGTTATTTTCCATTTATAACCATGTATGAATGTCATTTTATTTTTATACATGAAAATGCAACCAGATGCCAGTTCAAACAGTTCTGTTCCATTGTTTGCACTGCTTGAGAGTTTGTGTCCATATGTAAACATGCAATTCAATTTATAGCTGTGTCAGTAATTTTTTCAAGTCTGTCCCCAAATATTAAAAAAAAACAAAAAAACCCAAAAAAAAACAAAAACAAAACCACCAAACCCATCTTTTGAAATTGTTATTTATCACGGGCTTGAGTCTTAATATTTTTGGTGGAATTAATAGTTATTTACAGTAAGCAAACATTTCTGTTGTAGGTGTTGCATCAGTAAGTAACCCAGGAAATTACACTTCACTCTCTGATTTGTCTTTCCTATTACAGACGAGCTCAAATCTCTTGCTTCCTGCACCATCATTGCTGACACCACACTCCAAGCTAAGACTGCCAGGCACTCTGGGCACGCCACTGAATCCTCTGCGTTCTTTCACCAGTAAAAGTGGTAAGTTTCTTTATTTCTCCACTCTCTGTAGGGAACGAATGGATAATAACTTCCAGGAGTTTATAAATCTTGCTGTGAAGCTCTTTCTGGGAGTGTCTTGGCTGTTAGATGCGATGTTGTTTAAAGCGCAGTGCGATACAGTCCAATACTGACACATGTTCCCTTGTAATGCTTTTTTTTCTTTAAGCTGTACACTTATTTATTAGTGCTGTATGTTTCTACAACACTGAAATTGCCAGCTTTTCTTAATGTAATATTTTGATAATATTTTAATACTTAATAAATACAGACACTTAAAAACAAAAAAAAAAATCATATTTTAAAAGCGTATGTATTGATAAAAGAAAACAGTAATAAGAAAAGCAATTTACTTAAGAATGATAGTGCTTGGTAGTCTATTTGCAGTTGTGTTTAATCTATTTTCAGGGGTTTGTTTCTAAAGACATTTCGTGTTCAAAGATTTTGAGAAAAAAGTAAACAGTGAAACTATGCATTTTTGTGATACTTTTTTGCTAATAATATCTGTTGCATTGCTCATCACAATATTTAATAATAAAATTGATAATTTCATGCCTTTTTGTCATTTTGGGGCACCTGTAAAATAAGACGGAAAATTGGAACCTTAGTTTCAAAGTGATTTTGTTTTGTATCCTTAAGAGTAAAAAGAAGTTCAGAGGGAGGGTGGAATATATAATGAACTAAAAACAGGCGATAAAGCTATAAAATGTAGATAGTAAAGATAGGAATGGTCTCTATAATTATATAGAATTATCTCCTAAAGGCAGACAATTTTCTTTGTGCATCAAGTTATGATTACTTTTTCTGAGCTCCAGAGGAAAGAGTCCTTAGCACGGACTGAAAGGTTAACCACTAGTCTCGGAATCACTCCTAGTCCCTAATTCACAACACGAATGGCTGTACACCAATTAACTTCTGTATTTTCATTTTTTACCTGAACAAAAGATCTTAGATCCGTAATAATATTAATCTATCGCACAACAGATGCTTAATGTTTCTAGGGTGCATAAATCTTGCAGAAACAGTAGACATACGCTGTCTTACATAGTCTGAATGCTTCAAATAAGTGGACTAACCCTTTAAGGAACATTAACATATACTTTAAGTTGTTTTAAATGGCTATATCTAATATTGCTCAAACCAGTGCATTTTATTGTCTTGAATTTTATTTTATGCAGAAGCACAGATAAATGTGTTGATGAAGACTTCTTAAATAGCATGAACAAAACATAGATACATGTTACAGCTTTTCATGTTCATACTCCCAAGGTAGTTGTTTCCAAAACTGACTAATAGTTCAATGATGCACAGGTACAGGATATTATTTATGCAAGGGAAATATAGTAAAAAAGAGGTGCATCTTAATGGTCTTTCAACAGTCAATGAAAGCGATGAGAAAATGAAGATTCTTAGGGAAAAAAAAGACCATAAAAATTCTAGTGGACCACAGTCAAAATAGATTTTTCCTGTAAGAAAGTCTTTTAAAATCTTAAACTACTACTTTGTCATTTTGAGGGCCTCCAAGTTGTTCTACTGTCATAAAAGTTGCTTTCAGTGAAACCTATGAGGAAGATTTACTCATCAATTTCATCTTTCCCCGTTGGTTATGAAGTGTGAAGATAGGTACTTGTGTTCATAGCTCCTAATTGCCAGTTTAGTTTTACTTTTGAATAATAGAAAATCTGTACTTAAGCAGATCTATTCATTTATGGATTGTGCTAGAAGCACAAAACCTTTTTTTTTCTGTGTTGGTTTCATATACACAATTTATATGCTTTTCTGTATTGATGTTCCTGAGATGTTGCATTGTTAACAACTGCCTGTAATACAGAGATCCTTCATTTTTGTCCAGCAGATGGTTTCGTGTTCCTGAAGGTTATGTTGGCAGTTATTCAGTCTTCTCACTCTCACACTTTCCTGTCACCTTTTGCTGTGTATTTAGTGCTTCTTAAAGCAAAATGCAGAATTCCCATTACAGTGAAGTCGCTACAGGCAGCATGTGTAAAGCTCTGTTAGCAAGCTTTTTAACCATGCAACTGGTGTTTGTGCATGCTGTATTAACTTGATAAGGTTGTAGCTGATGTCTTGTGATATGGACAGTGCAGTAGCCCGGATACATGTGGCACTTTGTTCTTTTAGCAAGACAATCTAATTATTTAGGTCTTGCATTAGGTAGAATCAGTGGAAAAATGGGGTATCCACCTTCGTGATTTATGGGTAGTAGCAGTAATATTGCAAACCTTTGCTGAATTTTAGATCATTTTTTATCCAGATATATTTGCAGAAGTAGCTGTAGGTGATTTTGTAATACTTCAAATAAAGCTAATATTCACTACTGCGCCTTTTAAACATGCCTGTTCGTTTTAACAGATGGGTTCTGTATACTCTCAAACATATAATATGTTTTGGCTTTTCTTCAAGTGTATACTTTCACATGTATATAGGCTTTCATGAAGCCCCAGTCCTTGTTCTGCTATTTACCTTCCCTCTCTCAAGATCAGTTATCTCATGGTCACTGAAGCAGGTCTGCCTTTGTCTCCAACCACTTCTGCCTTATTCGGTATTGGCACACTCAGGGGTGAAGCCCCCTTAGTCAGCCTGTCCAGCATCTGCATCAAAAAGTTGTTCCCAGCACATTCCAGAAGTCTGAATTGCTTGTAGGCTGTGTTTTTGTCTCTCAAGCAGATATTGAGGTGGTTAAAAACCTCCATGAGAGTCAGGGCCTGTGGCTGTGAGACTTCTTGCTCTGTTTAAAGAAGGCTTTATCCACTTCCTCTTCTTGATCAGGTAATCTGTAGCAGGTGCCCCTACATATCCCGCAATATCCATATTTTTGGCCTCTTCCAATTTTGACTCGTATGTTCCTGACAAACCCGTCATCTGCTCTGTAGCTCTGCACATTTGAGCCTCTCTTCCTACAGCACTCTCCATTCTTGGCTTCCCTCATTCCTTCCTAAAGACCCTGTGTCCACAGGCTCTCACAACATTCCAGTCAAACAGTAAGAAACATAAATATATAAATATTTTATCTGAAGGAGAAATTCATGAAACACTGAAAATACAGTAAAATGCCATTTGTTATTCTAATATAGCCCCTTCCTTCAGCAATGCTATTTTGTGAAAAGAAACCTAAGTTATTTGGAAACCACTTGGGTTCTTATGTCCTTGAATATTTCATAGTGTAATAGCAAAGGTGCTTCTTCTTATTCCAGTCTTCCCTCTGTTCTATAATGTTTTAGAGACTTTGAGCACCCCTTTCTGATTATTTAATTAATTTTTAAAGAAGTGAACTGCTATGTTTATAAAGCGACTCCATAACGAGTGAAACAATCTGCTAGTGATTGGTTTTCTGCATGCTCAGCTGCAGTAACTTCTAATTGTAAACTAGTATCAGATCCTTTCTTGTCTCCTTAAAGAGTTTGTTCAGTTATGCTTTTATTTTATTCCTGATTTTGAGTTTTACATGTTTGCTTAGATAGCCTAACTTTGTTCTAAAATAATTCATTGTTTAATCATCAAATAGAGAACTTCAGCACCTTTCTCAAGCACAGAATGTTCTTTATGTGAGATGAGTAAACACAAGATCATGGTATCGTTGAGCTGGGTAGGCACCTCTGGAAACCTTGTAGCCCAACCCTCCTGCTCAAAGCAGGTGCACCTAGGACAGGGTGCTCGGGACTGTGTCCAGTTGGGTTTTGACCATCTATAATGATGGAGATTCAACAACATCTCTGGACAACCTTTTAACAATGTTTGACTGTTCTCACAGTAAAGGGATTTTTTTTTTATGTTGAAATGATATTTTGTGTATTTCAGTCTGCATTGGGATTATTCCTCCCCAAATGCAGGACTTTGCATTTCCTTTCAGTCGAAATTCATGAGGTTCCTGTTGGCCCATTTCTGCAGCCTGTCAAGGTCCCTCTGAATGGCAGCACATCCCTCTCATATATCAGCCACTCCTCCCAGTTTTTTATCATCTGCAAACTTGCTGACGGTGCACGCAGTCCCATGAGGGAGGTGATTCTGCCCCTCTGCTCTGCTCTCGTGAAACCCCACCTGGAATACTGCGTTCAGCTCTGGAGTCCCCAACACAAGAAGGACATGAACCTGTTGGAGCGGGTGCAGAGGAGGCCATGAAGATGGTCTGAGGGCTGGAACACCTCTGCTATGAAGACAGGCTGAGAGAGTTGGGGCTGTTCAGCCTGGAGAAGAGAAGGCTCCAGGGTGATCTTATTGCAGCCTTCCAGTACTTAAAGGGGGCCTACAGGAAAGCTGGAGAGGGACTTTTTACAAGGGTATGTAGTGATAGGACAAGGGGCAATGGCTTTAAACTGAAAGAGGGGAAATTTAGATCAGATATAAGGAAGAAATTTTTCACTCTGAGGGTGGTGAGGCAGTGGAACAGGTTGCCCAGAGAAGTTGTAGATGCCCCATCCCTGGAAGTGTTCAAGACCAGGTTGGATGAGGCTTTGGGCAACCTGGTGTAGTGGAGGGTGTCCCTGCCCATGGCAGGGGGGTTGGAACTAGATGATCTTTGAGGTCCCTTCCAACCCAAACCATTCTATGATTCTATGATCCAGGTCATTAGTAGAGATGTTAAACAGCATGGGCCCCAGTATCGACCCCTGGAGTGCACCACTAGTGACTGGTCTCCAGTTAGATTTCATGCAAGTGGCTGCAAACCTCTGATCCCTACAGCTCAGCTAATTCTGTCTGCTGTGCTGTCTGCTTACACAGTGCATATTTCATCAGTTTGTCCATGAGGATGTTATGGGAGACAGTGTTGGAACTCTTGCTAAATTCAAGGTTAACAACATCTCCTGCTTTCCCATCGATGCTATAGACTGCTGTGCAAGAGATACATTTAAAGTTTTGTCAAGAGTATAGTTAGAATTACTTGAAAAACATAATTTTATTTTGACAAATAATAATTGAAGCAGGTACAAGACATGGATGAACTTGTTTCTTATGTGTTATCTAAT